ATAGATAGATAGATAGATAGATAGATAGATAGATAGATAGATAGATAGATAGATAGATAGATAGATAGAGCTAAATTACTAAAACCTCAGTTTGATCACCAAGTTCTTTTTTTTGCACCTTCAGAAGTTCAGGGAGGAAACTTTGAAGCAGCCTGATGGATTAGGAGGAACTGGAAAGTGCTTAACGTGTTAAAGAGTCTTAGTTTGCTTTGAAAGAATAATCCTCTCCTTTGATCTTATAACAAAGAAGCAAAAAAAGAGAAAAATCAAAGATTCTCTCAATATATTTAGGTTCTGAAGTGTTGAATGAATTAAAYTTTTTTCAGAAAGTTTCAAAGTGAAGCTATTTAAGGAGAAAAAAGAGCAAAAGGAGGGTTTGAACTTAAATTCTCCCATACCTTCCATTTCCTCTGGTCGCAGATCTCTGTCCTGTGGAGAAAACAGCAAAATAAAAACATGCTTCATATAACATCACAGCAACACAACCAAAACTCTGAAACATTTCAGACATTTTTTTATTTTTATTCTTTATCTCATCCACAAATTCTTTAACAGGATTAAGTTTTGGATCTGACTGACCCTGGACAGCCTTTCTGAGCTCAGCTGCAGAAAAACTGAAGCATATACCTCTTGACACATTTTTGCCAACCCAAGAAAAATAATCTTCAAATGTCTTTGCTAATTCCTGGAATGAGCGATCAGGATCAGTTTGATGTGTGCAAACRTCTGACAAATGACTTTAAAGAGCAACACAGGATAAATGAAACCCAGTGTCTGTCTGCAGGCGTTGTGGAGAAAAGGTTGGGGTTGGATGAATCTGTTCACTCTTTGTTCTGCGGGGTCGTGACATCAGCATCAGGAATAATACGGGCCTGGATTAGAGAAAGCTGGGGACACACTGCAGAGGCAGGGAGATTACAGCCCTAAATTGTATTACAAATCATGGAGGCTTATCGGTTTATCATTTTCCTATCTGCAGCTTATTTTCATCTGCAGCTGAAATGCAGTTTGGCTTTTGTTTGAACAGACATTACCTGGACGRGCCCAACAAACACGTGACACACTGTTTGTTGGTCCTTTATCTCTGATCTACAAATTTTCACTCAGTTTCAAACACAGATTAAAATATTCCTCTTCTATTTGTTTTTACTGAACTTTTAAGTGCTGCTGGCTGCTTTTGAAGACCACTAAATGTCCTGATCTGTGCCTTACTGTGATCGGTTTTCTGTTTTCAGTTTGATTTTTTATGATTAGTTTCTGTGTTTTTGTTCTGTTTAGTTTGTTCCGTTCTCTGCTGTTTCCTGTCATTATCAGCCTCTTTTCCTCAGTCAGTATTTTTCCATWTCCTGGTTCCCTCCACAAACAAAAACCCTATAAACGCAGGATTTTACTTTTTGAAAAAGCACCAAAAGGGCAAGAAACCCAAAAGAGGTGTGATTATTTCTCATTTTGTCCATGAAAAATGTTTTGGATGAGATCAAAACCCAGTAAAAAAAGCCATCCGTCTCAACCTGCAGCATGTTCCTCAGTGTCTAATCCCTGCCATAAGATMGTTTTCCTTTCCTCCATCTGTGAGTTCAAATCAGATCAAAAACACATTTTTATATCTTTGTATGTTATCTGTGWAGCACAGAAAACACATGTTAAAGATAATGTATTTTTAAAAACAGTAAACATTTATTTTAATACAGATATGGTGAACATAGAATAATCTACTTGAATTATTGTTTCTGATAAAGTGACGCAGTTTCTTGTGTTTTCCTTCTCTCAGTATGTCACTGAAATATATGTCTGTTTAGCTTCTCATTCAAGCTTTAAAATGGAATTTAAT